ATAGATTATTTCAGTTGTCAATTCAAAGTGTAAGATTGAAATACTTCACCATGACTAAATATTTGGTAAATATTAAACACTCCGTCAGCAGTTGAGAGTGGGAGGGTGTCAAATAATAGATGAAGATTAAAAGGTCATCGTAGGTCATCTACAAGGTTCATCAATTAAATCGCAAAAGCACTCGCATTAGCTAACGCATCTAATTGTGTGGTACCAACATCTCGATTTTGCTTCTTTTGCACTTTAAGAACAATTTCAAAAGCAAGCTTGAATTAAACTGCAACTTCGAATGCATCAATTTGCTCCAGACACGAAATGCAGGAAATAGTATTCACTTGATTTTCACAAACCCAGACAATAGAGCAACGTGACAAAGAAGTGAATAGCACAAAATAGCCAAGGTAAAGCCATCCATAGTAACTATGGAAGTATATGAGAACCTATGGGAGCAGAGAATGATACTATCAAAGTATGATGGAAACTCCGAATTTCTGGGGACGCATTGTTGAGAACGACGAATAGGCAAGGGAGAAATGAATATTGCATGAAGAAAATAGTCTGAACAGGAGGAAGTTAAAAACATTTGAATTACCTCAACTTCGTGAATGACATGGTTTGAAGATCCGTTGCTGCGTTAATGCGTTTTGGCCTTAAACAGAATCCGATCTAAATGCAATATGTGCAAATGCATTGAGACTTAATAAGTCGGCAGGAAATGCCAACTCGGTGAGAATCGTAATAGTGTCATGTTCATTCAAATGACTTGAAAGAAAAGGAAGAATTGCAGATGAATATCATCAAATGCTGAGACTTGAAAATGGGATTCACGACCAAGCTCACAGATTACCAATAACGTAGGGAACATTCTCTTACATACCAAGTGGGAAAGTGACATTATTTCGAAAGTCTATTTACTAGAACGTGCGTTAAAACACCCTATTTCCAAAATGAGAACTTCTGAATGCTATGATATCCATGTGTTGGAGATAGGTTGAAATACTATTTCAGTTTATTAATATCAAAAATGTGACTTTTACAAGCTTTCAACGAGTCGTTCAACAAAGCTCTTCATGGTTTCAGCTCGTTTGGCAGATGTTGCAAGCACCTCCTCGTGGTTAGTTAGCACATCACTATCCTCACTCGTCACAACATTGTTGGTTATGAGAGACATGGCGAACACCTTCATGCCAGCATGCTTTGCAATGGTGGTCTCATGAGCAGTGCTCATACCAACTGCATCAGCACCAATCATTCGCAGGAAACGAGCCTCAGCAGGAGTCTCATATGTTGGCCCGATCTCAGCACAGTAGATGCCCTCCTTCAGGTACTCCGTAATCTCCAATTCTTCAGCAACCTTCTTGGCGAGTTCACGCAGACTCTTGGTGTAGAGATCTTGCATATTGGGGAAACGGGTGCCAAATCTATATTACAATTCACAATTAGCCTAAAGTCATAGCTTACTTCTCCTCATTCTTCCCAACCAGAGCGTTCATTCCAGTCATACCAGGCATGCTAATGTGATCCTTGATGATCATCATGTCGCCAACTGCGAACTTGGGATTGAGACCACCGGCAGCATTGGTCACAATCAGGGTTTCGACACCGAGGAGTTTGAACACGCGAACTGGCAGCGTGACCTAGGCGAGAGAGAAAGGGAGAGAGTGAGAGAGTATTAGGCATCAAACAGGCCAGCGTACCTGGCTCATCGAGTAGCCCTCGTAGGGGTGGAATCTTCCTTGCATGACAACTACATCCTTGCCACCGAGCTTTCCGAAAACAAGGTTACCAGCGTGACCGACGACAGTGCTCTTGGGGAATTGTTCAATCTCCTCGTACTTGATGATAGTCTTGTCAGTCACGACTTCAGCCAACGTGCCCAATCCGGAACCGCAGATGATGGCCACTTGGGGTGCCACATCCACTTTGGTCTTGATGAAATCAACAACGGACTTAACAGTTTCGTAGCAAGCCATAGTAGTGTTGTTGTGCTATGAGCTACTAACCCCCTCACCAGCCCTTTTATACCAAATCGGGTCACTGAAATTAAACGCGTTTACTGCAGGCAACCAATAGGAGCCGACCAATAAATTTCGCTCCAATCGCTTGCATTTTGGCCTCGTTTAGGGTCACCTTATATTTACTTTACAATCATTTCAATAGGTAATATTTTATGCTATTAATTTTTGCCATTATTTTGAATGGCGAAGCGAAACAATTAAACAATTTATAATATTCAAGAGCGTCTGAATAAAGGAGGTGGCAAAGATTTAGGAAAGCGATGTCACGACGATCTGTGGCAAATTGAGAAACACAGCCAAACAAAAAAAGGTTCATTGATTAATGTTATGAGTCTTACTGAGCACTCAGACGATTGACTCTTCTAATAAATAAGGCATTAATTAGGAAAAAATTACATTGATCAAATACTCATTCAACTCCATTGTATTTGCTAGCGACTTCCTTAGTAAATTGCATTTTGCACATTCTCTCTTGGGTAAATGTAAATAAAATCGATGGTGTCTTTCGTAATTGGCCAAAATTATCTTAAAACACACATTTTCATTCGCTGGTAATGTGCCGTGTTCGGAGAGAAGCCTTTTGTAGAAACTTGTCTTTCTATTGAAGGACAGTATGTGAGAGACTTCGGCCACGTTTGTCCCCCTCTGCTGACGTACAATTTGAAGATAGAGGCGTTAGCTTCGAAATGAACTAAAACAAGCCAAGATGTTACAATTCTCAGTCGAAATACTTGCCTATCCTTTGAGCAACCACGGGTTGATTTTGGATTTTTTAAGCATAAAATGCTAGTGAAACGACTATCTTACGTCTACAGCATTAGCTTATGCAAATTCGGAGAGAAGTGTGAGCGTTGCACTAACGTTAGTAAGTTTGGTGCTAAATTTAATTCCTTTTTCAAAGAGCATTTGAGCTACTTTGAATTAGATTATTAGTGCCGGTTCAAATGGTGTGGGTTGTGTGGTGGAGCAATGTGATCAACATTTCCCACTTCCACGGAAGCCTATTTAACTGCTTGTTTGTCACTGTAAACCTCTTGAAGTTTTCCACCAAATAATTTTATACCAAGTGCTCTGTGGTGTTTGAAATGTTGAAACCTTCAAAATTTCCATTTTAGCACTAATTTTGATGCAGAGGAATCGTAAGAGAAAGCTGAAGGTTGCAGCAAATGTCCACAGAATGAAGACGCGAGAATAATTTTTCCAAACATGTCTAATTAGACTGGTAAAAGTATTGTATTGCATATCAATAAACCGATAATATTTGAACGCGAATTAAAAATTGAATTAGTAAAGTTAAATGACTTTATTGGTTTGTTTCATTCATAGTGGATATCAAAATGCTATTTTACATGAGTTTGAATTATTATGATAACTATTAGCGTTAATGCGTTGATTATAATTAAATCAATGTAAATGGAATAAATGTTGAGAAAGGAAAAGACCTCAATAAGGTTAAATGTGGGGTAATTAGAGGATTGTAAAAGAAGGACAATGTTGTCGAGATTGCCCGGAAGGAACTTAAAATGTGGTTATTAAATTCAGCGTCCACATCTTCCCTTTTTACTACATGTGTGTCTTACTTGCATTTCGTCAGTTTACTGTTTTAAAGCCCCCAATGTCTGAAAGGTAGATTTATTTACACTTACTTTTGGCCAACGAAATTGATTAACTATAAATTTTTTTAATTAGCCTTATTATGATAACAAAAAAATATGTCTTCCGTTTGTAGCGGATTTCTACGTTAGTAAAGCCTGGCTTAAGTAACAGAAGCCTTTGTGATAGATTCCCCCAATTACCGAGTCTATACAAGAAGAGACATATCATCGATACGTTTATCCACTAGATACAGAAAGTGAAGTGTGATCATGCAGGGAGCTTAATCATGATCAGGATGGCGGATTAGGTTAAACAAACTGAGGTTAATGATTGGTCACTGTTTGTACGGTCGCACCTCCCAATCCTGGCGTACATGCTTGCGATGACGTGCTAAGCTATGACGTGTCCCACACGTTCCTTAAAGCGTTGTAATTAAAAATAATTTGATCATCGAAAATGCTTAACTTTAATTTCAAATAATAGCGATGGAAGCTCATCGTTTTATGTCAAAATAACATTTTTGTAAAATATCTGTATTTATCATTCATTGTTTTTGAATGAAACTATGATGGGTACAAAGTTCAGAAGCAGCACGGAGTCCTCGCTGTGCCGACGATTTCGA